CAGAGTTCTTCATTTACAGCGTACGAGGCACTGTTGACAGTCACCACGGCCCGTGGGATGCAGCCCGCTGTCTGCGCTTGACGGAGAGATTCCTTTAGGCTGCGGTATTGCTCTGCCTACTGTGTACGGGGGGAGGGAGCTGCACGGGAAGACGCGCTGTGCTGGCCGCTGCAGCCCCCCACGGTCCGGGGGGCCGGACAGTCACCAAGGAGTCACCCTCGGAGAGATGAGCTGCCCAGGAGGAGGGCAGGAGGGAGCCTGAAACAGGGGGCCGGGCCAGGTCCTTGAGTGGCCTCGACCTTCAGGAGAGTGTCTGGCTTTAGCCTGGGAACTGTGGGAGCTGCTGAAAGGGCATTAAGGGGCCTCGGTGGGTCCACAAAAGCACCCGAGCCGAGCAGAGGAAGGGGAGGACTTTGGGGCACCTGGAGAACGTGGGAGGCGGGTGCTACCATCCAGACAAGCTTGGACGGAGCGGTGGCAGTAGACACACAGGTGTGTGGCCTGGAGAGGTGTCGGGATGGGTTGGAAATGAGAGACGAGGGAGAGGGTGGAGTCAGGCATCATTCAGATGATGAGACCGAGGCACAGAGAGGTTCGGTGAGGGGCCCACAGTCACACAGCCAGTGGGGTCAGGAGCAAAGCCTCCATCCCAGCATCTGTAGGAGGTGGCAGCTGGGCCTGTGGACATCAGTCGTGACCCTGCGGCCTGGCGTGCATGTTGCGTGGAGATGGCAGGCGGGTCAGAGCCAGCAGGAGTGACGCCGGCGGTGGCATCATCACGCTTCATTTGCGGCGCTCCTTAGCGCCAGGCATAGTGGAGATTGATTGGGGCATCTGCCAGCGAATGGGGGACCCATTCTGTGTTGCCTGAAGCTCCATCAGGCAGAGATCGGGCCTGTAACGGAAGAGCTTGGGAAGAAGGTGCTGGAAGGAGATAGGGCCAGAGGGTGGCTGAGTGCCGGGGCCTTCTGGCGGCACATGTGATGGGAGGCCCTGAGGACCCCGAGTGAGAGAGGCCTGGGTGCAGAGCCAGCCAGCCTTGCCTAGGGAGATGACTTGACCTCATCGGCCTCAGATTTCTGTCTGAAATGGAGGTTGAGCTAAGGACAATACAGAACTTAGCAAAGTCCTGGGGCATGATCTGGGCTCAGGAAGTGCTGGGTGCTATTATTTTTATTTTTAATTATTTCATTTTAGTTTTTGAGACAGAGTCTTGCTCTGTCGCCAGGCTGGAGTACAATGGCATGGTCTCAGTTCACTGCAACCTCCGCTTCCTGGGTTCAAGTGATTCTACTGCCTCAGCCTCCCTAGTAGCTGGGACTACAGGCGCATGCCGCCACACCCAGCTAATTTTTTGTAGTCTTTTTTTTTTTTTTTTAAAGGAGAGACGAGGTTTCACCATGTTGACCGGGATGGTCTTGATCTCCTGACCTTGTGACTGCACACTTTGGCTTCCCAAAGTGCTGGGATTACAGGTGTGAGCCACCGCGCCTAGCCTGGGTGCTATTATTATTACTGTTGTCATCATGGGTATTGCTGTGTAGCAGCTGGAACCCAGTAACTGGTGGGGGTGTCGGTTGGCCTCTCTGTTTTGGGATGTGTCATGGTTTGCCAAGCCAGAGCCCAGTTAGCCCAGAGATGCTGCCCTCAAGATGATGAGTCAGTCCTGGGACCTGAGGTCCGCTGACTGCAAAGTCCAGGCCCAGGCCCAGGTGTGGGTGGAGGCTACTGATGGGGAAGCATAAGGACAACTCCGGAGAGGATCAGCTTCCGTTCTGGGGGGGGCGGATTATGTGAGTCCAAGCAGCACATGCAGAGAAAGGACAAAGGATGAGACGGGCCACCTTGATGAGACCGTGTGGTGGTCGGAGGCCATCCTTTGCCTGATTTTACCGGGTAAACATGCAGGAGGTTCAGAGAGGTTGAGGGCCTGGCTCAGGGTCACACAGCAGCTGTTGCTGGGAGCAGGCCTGCCAGCTCCGGGGCCTGGGTGCTGTCCCCACTGTGAAAGAGGGCGGTGATCGTTTATCAGGGGAGTTTAATAATGAATGAAGTTGAAGCGTCTTTAATGCATGCAGCAGGCCTGAAGTAATAAGGGACCCTGTATTAATTCAGAAGTTAATGAATATGCAGGTGTGTCTGAATGATTAATGGGGCTCCTAAAGGCCTTGGAAGGGGGTAAGTGAGCTGCTGCTGATGGAAATATGAATATTACATACGTCTGGGAAGTCGGATAAACCGGGGAGCCAGATGGGCATCAACCACCCAGAGGGCTCTAGCAGCCGAGACTGGAATATACATACATGTGGGGACACATGTGTACGGGCGTGGGGAGCATGTTCACTGCTTGCAGTGTGATCGTGGGGACATCACTTAACCTCTGTGAGCCTTACTTCCCTCACCTGCAGAACGGGTGTAAAAATACTACCTGGTTCCTAGGATCCCGAGGATGAAATGGGAGAGAATCTCTTAACAAGGGCGGGCTCGTTGGGAGCCTCTGACAGACACTGGTACAGCCTCTTTAGAGAACAGGGTGGCGAAGGGGTTGAGGGGGGCCGAGGAAAGTGTAACTAGCAGTTAACGGCTGGGCACGGTGGCTCACGCCTGTAATCCTAGCACTTTGGGAGGCTGGGGTGGGCGGATCATGAGGTCAGGAGTTCCAGACCATCCTGGCCAACATGGTGAGACCCCATCTCTACTAAAAATACAAAAGTTAGCCGGGCGTGGTGGCGGATGCCTGTAATCTCTACTCGGGAGGCTGAGGCAGGAGAATTGCTTGAACCCGGGAGGTAGAGGTTGCAGTGAGTCGAGATCGCGCCATTGCACTCCAGCCTGGCCGAAGAGCAGTTAAATTCCCTGCAGATGGGCGGTGCTTCTGTTGCACTGACGGCAGGCAGGAAGAGCACAGATAAACGGCACTTTACAGTGTATAAAGGGGAGTTGCTCAGCGGGTATCCTTTTTCTCTTGCAGCAGCTGCATGGGGCAGAGGAGATGGGTCTTGGGGAAACTGAGGCTCCGAGAGGGCTGGTCCCTGTCCGTGTCACTGGGCCAAGTGAGGGCCAGAGTTGGTCCTGGGCCCAGGTCTGCCCACACTGTTGGAGAAGGGCCTTTCCAGTATTTGCCAGGCCTGGGGCTAGGGGACAGGGTCATCGCTCAGAGCCTCAGTTTCTCTCCCTGTCATGTGAGGGTGTGTCTGCCACTCAGGGTTGTTTTGAGGCTCTGATGAGGAAGTGGGACAGGGGCCCCTCATCTATGCTTGGCCTTCGGGGAGTCCCAGACACCGTCTCTTTGATGGTCAGCCTGCTGCATCAGCTGGACTTAGATCTGGGGGAATCGTGGGCGCTGGGCCACTTTAGCTGTGGGCTCTCGGCACGTCTCTTGTTGTCTCTCAGCCTCAGTTTCCTCATCCTTCACATAGGCATGACAGTGTGGCTGCCATGTGTGAAGTGTGCAGGGCCTGGCACACAGCGGGTGCTGGATGGGTGTGCTCCTGTCCCCAGCCCCGTGTGATGGCTCTGTGCAAGGTGGCTCTCTTATGCTCCCAGGGTGATGGTTTTCAGCTGTGGGCGTACACAGAGAGCCTGCCTCGAATGGTGCTGGGCCTGGGCTCACAGTATGAGTGAGACTGTCCGCTACCTGGTCCCTATCCTCTATGAGGCTGTGGTCCGGGGAGAAGGTAGATGTAAAACCAGTGTCCCTGTCATGCGAGCTGGGATGGGGATGGGGAGCCAGAGGGCAGCCCCTTCCCAGCCTTGGGTGGAGAGGGAAAGAGACGCCCGTTCATCTCCCTGTCTCCCCACCAGATCCCCAGCTGGAAGCCCAGGCTTTCCCGCTCGCAGGAGGTGATGCTCACAGAATGGCTGTTTGAATGCAGAGGGAGTGAACGAACGAATGGCTGGTTTCTAGGCACCTTCCTCTGCCTCTTCTCAGTTCCAGGCCAGTGAGCAGGGGCATGTGCAGGCCCCTCACTTGACTGTCTCCGGGATCCGGGGTGATCCTGTTGAACAACCTTCTCTCCTCCCTTGCGCCCTGGGCCAACCTGGCTGGGGTCAGAGAACTGTGTGTTGCTGGGTGAAGAGCCTTAGGAGTCATGGTCATGGTGCAGCCTGCTGTTGACAAGCAAGGAAACCGAGACCCAGAAGGGAGAGGGGTGGTGAGTGGGGGCAGGGCCGGGGTTAGAGCCTCTGTCTTGGCTGTGCCAGGTGGGCAGCCCTGCAGTGTATAGCCTGGTTGTGTATTTATAGTCCCTACTGATCTATATTAACACCCAGGCCTGCCCAGCCCTTTGCAGCCTCCGGATCTGAGGGTGCCTTTGAACCCTCTGGGGGGCTATAGAATCAGAGCTCACCCCCATGGGGAGGGGCAAATGTGGCTTCTCACCCTTCCCTTCACAGCCCTGGGGCTCACGCTGGGCCATTTGCCTGCAGGATCTTTGCCAGCCCGGGCGAGGCTGGGGCCACCCTTTGGTGGGTTCAGCTTCTTCGTCTGGGGTTCGTTATCTCGCCTTGCTTCCCTCTGGCTTGGCAGGGAGGCCGTGTGTACAGCATGAGATGAATGCATGGGCTGCGTGGCCTTGGGCAAGCCAGGCCCCGCTTCAAGCCTCAGTCTCCTCATCTGCAGAATGGGCATCATTCCCATGCGACCCTCCTGTGCCAGGCGCTGGGCAGTCCATGCTTGTGAGCTGGGGGTCACTGTGTACACTCCTCACGTCTCTCTGGTCCTCATCACAAGCAGTCCTCAGAGCCTGGAGGGACCGGAGTGTCATCTCCATTTGACAGATGAGGCCGGTGAGGCCCTGCCACAGCGGAACGTACCAGAGCCGTGCTGCCTGTAGGGGCAGAATTCGGACTCATCTAAGTCTGAATGGTCCAGCTTCCCAGGCCCCGCCCCAGGGCCCGTGGGCTCCTTGGGGCAGGGCAGACTCCTCACCCCGCCAGCTTGGTTCCCGCCCCCTGGTCGCCATGGGGAGAGCTCCACTAACTCTATGCTTTTCTTACAGAGCAGAGACGACTGGCTGCCCTGAGCGCAATTCAATTCAACAGACATTTACTGAGTGCCTACTATGCGCCAGGCCTTAGGCTGGGCACTGGGGGAGGGGCGCAGAGAGGAAGATGGGGTCCTGTCCTCAGATAGCTCCAGGCTGGGGGGCGTGGAGAGGACAGGCAAAGGCTGGACAGCTCAGCACCAGGAGAGAAGCCGCTTGGTGGGCTGGATGCAGCAGAGCCCCGGGTTCGAGTGCATCATGGAGAGCTGCCGTTCCTCGTCCGCACCTCAGTCTCCCCACGTGCAAAATGGGGGAGACGACCTCTAGGACCCATGCAGTATTCCAAGAGTGATACCTCGGGCTTGTGGGGGCAGAGCAGAGGGGTCACCCTGCAGAAGGGAGGTCTCCAAAGGCTTCTCAGAGGAGGTGGTATAAGGTCTGGACCCAGGGGATGGGGACAGGTGGGCATGGCTCCCAGGGTTAGGACCAGCGTGAGTGAAGGCCTGGTGCATGTGGGTTCCCCCAGTTCCATAGGGTTTCAAGGGGACACATCGGGGTGGGAGTGAGCTTAGAGAGGGACAGAGGGGTTCTAGGGCCACAGGTCGGGGTGGGAGCCATTGTGGGCTGTTGAGGGACAGCCAGGAACAGCTGGCCCTGCTCTGTCCCACCTCCTTCTCCCTCCCTCTCTAGGGCACACTTCAGGATCACTTCCTGTAGAACCTTGCAGCCGTGTGGCCTCGGTAGCACCTGCACTGTGCCAGGCACTGTGTACATTAGTCCTCACTGGGCTCCAATTCACAGAGGAGGACACGGAGTTCTGACAGGAAGCTTCTTGCCCACGGTCACGATCTGACTCCCAAGCCCCCCATGCTTCTCCTGTTACCTCCCACTGAGAGGGTTCCCGTTCTCTGCGACGTCTCCCATCCTGGGGATCCCCCCCAACAAAGCCCTGGGGAGTGCCCACCAAGGACAATGCAGTTGGGTTTGGAGGGCGAAGGTAGGAAAATCCCAGATGTTGGCAGGACTGGCTTTCTCCCAGACCCGAGTTTCTGCCCCAGCAGCCACCCTCTGGGATAGCGTGAGGCGGGACTCCTTCCCACTTTACAGATGAGTAGACTGAGGCCCTGAGAGTCATGTGGCTAGTCCAAGGTCAAACTCAAGGGAGTGACAGCCTAGGCTAGAAGCTGGTCTCTTCATTGCCCAACTGAGGCTGGAGGGAGGCTCAGGTCCCTTGAGATCTGTACAAAAGCTGAGCCCCGCTCCCCGGACCCCCGACCTCCCCAGGTAGCAGAGAAGCCTGGCCCTGGAGTCGAAGACCTGGTTCAAATCCTGGTTTTGTCTTTGCATGAACTGTGTGATCTGAGCAAGTCATGGATTACTTGGGGCCTCGATTTCCTTATCTATAAGAGGGCAGCGAGCTGGCCTCCTTCACTCAGCCATGAGCAAATATTTATTGAGCACCTACTGGGAGAAGCAGGGCCCTTCCTCGGGAACTGAGTCCAGAGGTAGCAGCAGCAGTTTTGATTCCGGTTGTGATGGAGGAAGTGCAGGGAGCTGTGGGGACCCATAGGACAGGCCCCAGCCAGGTGGGTCGGAGAGCTCCCGCAGGACCACGTGGGCCGCGCTCTGGATGCTGTTGGAATTTTCCCAGATCAGCCGCAGCCAGCGAAGGCTTTCTGGCAGGGGAGTGCTGTGCTCAGGTTGACGTTCTAGAAAGCTCATCCTCTGCTGGGTTCGGAGTGGGGAGGTAGGGTTGGAGGTAGAGAGGCAGCAGGAGCAGTGGGGCAGAGGGCAGCACCAAGGTGGCAGTGGGGGCAGCACCAAGGTGGCAGTGGGGGCAGCCGGGCAGGTGTGGCTGCCTCTCACCAGGTCTGGGAACTGAAAGAGAAGCAGGGGACGAGGGGGAAGGGGCCATGGGAGGTTAGCCCAGTCGTGGAGGTGGACATGGATGAGTGAGTTTCAGGTGCCAGGGAAGGCCCCCCCCCGCCCCGGAAGCTGCTGGGTATGGTGGTTTGGGTATGGTCAGCCTGGAGCTGACATTAGAAGCCTTGGTGGGAGGGGGGCGCTCATGGGCTCTTGAGGGGGGGAAGGGGGAAGCAGGTTTGAGAAGGGCAGTGAGCAGGGACCAGGACATCAGGGGAGGCCACTGCTTGGCGTACAAGCAGAGGAGCCTGAGGGGACACAGCCTGGGAGGTCTTGGGAAAGCAGAGCTGCACGTCCCCAGCCCGGGAAGGAGGCGGCGGGGCTTAGGTCTGCGGAGAGATTTCAGCAGGCGGCGTGTCGGACGCTGTGCCCTGCACCGGCTGAGGAGGTGCCCGGGAGGGTCAGCTCCCGAATCTTTTCACCCGAAGGCAGAAGCTGAGTTTCTGCCCCTTACCCTCCTAGGGAGGAGGAGGCTGCAGAGGGGGAAGGTTTCGGGGAAGCAGGACAAGGGGAAAAACATTTGCATGCATGACAAGGCTGAAGTGAGAGGGAGAAAAAAGGGGGAGAAAGAGAGGAAGAGAAATCACCATACACCAGGATCTTGTTATTCAAGCTAATTTTCAAAGGACCACAGCTGTCACACTGAGATAATTCGTTAATTATAACAGCCATTGTGCTTTGGCAGTGGGAGAGGAAACCGAGGCCGGGGAACAGGCTGGAGGTGGGGGTGGGAGCAGGCCGCTGGGGCGCCTGGACTTCAGAGAGGGGACAGGGACAGAGGTGAAGAGAGGTGCGTTACCCTCGGGACTGAAAGGAAGACACTGCCAGGTCAGGCCCTGTCCCTCCTCACTGTCATTGCTGCGGTGCGGGCCTGTGCCACGTGCCTTGCACCAGCCCTCCACAGCGACACCTGCAGGAGGCAGCTTCCCGGTGTAGTGACTGCCCAGACCCTGGCCTGTGGCCGTCCCCTCTGCAGCCCGCTGAGCTGGTGCTCTTCTTGTCGCACTTTACAGAAGAGGAAACTGAGACCCAGGGAGGATTAGCTTGCCAGGACCAGGGCGCGAGGTGGCATAGCCTGATTCGAGCTGAACGTGGACCCTGCGCTTTGGCAGCACGCTAGGGAGGGCTGGTCTTGGCGGACTGGCCACGTGGAGTTGGCAGACACAGGAGCTGTCACATAAGATAGCCTCACGTTCGGGCTGTGGTTTCTGCCCAGCCGGCAGTCCTGGGGCGGCCCTCCCCCGGGAGTTTCCGGGGCTCCGTGGCGACCCCTCTGTGGACAGAGCCTCCTTGTTCTCTGATGCTGCAGCTGCAGGCCCCCCGCAGCCTCGGAGGCGGCTGTCAGTCTGGGCTGGGCTCTCCCACCTGCTCCAGAGAAATCGGCTCTCAGGGCTGGGGGGAGGGAATTCAGACCATCCCAGGTGGTGCCTATACTGATCCCTTGCCACCGTCTGGTTAGAGGTTGGGAGGTGACAGAAGGTAGAGACGGGGCTCGGGGAGGCAGGCCCAGGTGAGCAGAGTGAGGGACTGTAAGTCTGTAGAGAGAAGGTAGGGGTCCAGGAGTCATTCCAGAAACCCCAGGTCCCCTTGAGCTTCAGTGTGGCTTCAGGAACTCAGGGGTCCTGGTGTTCACAGCGGCCATGCCTACAGACAGCACCTAGGCTAGGCCAGCGGGCAGCATTCTGTGGGCTGGGAATAGTGTCTGGGAGAGGGCACCCCCAAACCCCAGAAGGACCCCCAAACCTGGCCCAGACAGCATTGTTGGCAGAGGAGCAGTGGGCCCCACAGGGCGACAGGTGGGCCTAGGATGGTCGTGTGGGGGGCCCCCTTGGCTTGGGGACCTCTCCCCAGTGGGGCTGCTTGGAGCCAAAGAGAAGCTGTCAGAGGGTCAGGACAGCCTAGAGTCCTGTAGAGTTGGTGACCCATGGAGGCCAAGACACAGGAGACTTTTAGGACCAAGCAAGTGACAGATACACCTTAGAACCCTCAACCCAGACTCCCCAAATGACAGATCCACGGTGTTGGTGTCCTGGTGCTAAAACCCAAGAGCCATGGGTCAGGAGGACAGGGGATGGAGCTCCAGGTCAGGCAGGGGCCAAGTGCGGGAGGCAGGGACTGGGGCACCCCGGAGTCCCCGGCTGAGAGGCTCGTAGGATTACCCCCGGCAGGCTGGGGTTCTACTTGTCCCCACTCGGGCCTTCCCCCTTGTGGCTGGCCTCATGAACTCCAGTGTGCAGGGCTCAGCTGGCCACCCAAGCCAGAGAGGCGGGGAGGAGGCTGGACGCCGCCCCGAGGTGCCACCGCCGTCCCTCCAGGCATGCAGGTCCGGGAAGCCAGATCTTCCCGTTTCTCAGTAGATTCCAGAAACGGGGATTTTTGAAACAAAATCTGCCAAGTTTTCAATATTGGCAACTGATTTAAAAAATGTGAAAACCACCATGCAGCTGAGACAGAATCGCACTGCGTCTCTCGAAGACAGCCTGGGGGCGTGGAGGGTGGAAGCCACTACGTAGCAGTTGTGAGACCTCAGTTTCCTCATCTGCAAAGTGGGAATAGTGATAGTGCTTTTAAGAAGTTTAAAGTTGGCTCAGGATTAAGTGAGTTAACGTGGGAAGTGCGGAGGCCCAGCCGGTGCAAGCACTGAAGACTCTTCACCTTGTGGGAGGCTGCCCATCCCTCCCCGGGCCACCTCTCAGGAGGCTTCGCTCTCCGCCACTGCAGTCTCCACTTCCCCCTGGGGGCCCCCACATGCCCTGCCCCTGTCTTGGGACAGCCCTGAGGATGCTGGAGGGCAGGGAAGCGTTTGCCCCTTGGGACCCTGGAGGAGGAGCAGGCGGAGGAGGCAGAGCTGGGAGGGCGGGCCTAGCCGGTGCCTGGTACATAGTAGGTGCTCCATAAATGTTTATTGAATGAATGAATGGAGGCCGTGCAGGCAGAGGCAGCCGTGCTGCGCAGGCACTGGTGAAAGAGCGGGTCCAGTGGAGACTGGTGAGTAGTGCCCAGGGGCTGCAGCTGAGGGGGCCAGGAGGGGCCCGGGGTGGGGGAGGTAAAGGTCAGGTTGGGACAGGGCCGGGGTCAGGTGGGGATCGGGAGTGGGAAGCAGGGTCAGGTGGGGAGAGGTAAGGCCAAGTGGGGAAGGGCTACAGGTCAGTGGGGGAGGTGGGGTCAAATGGGGTGAGGCCAGGGGTTAGGTGGGGAGGTGGGATCGGGTGTGGGAGGCGGAGTCCATGGGGGAGCTGGGATCCAGGGGAGGAGAGGTAAAGGCCAGGCTGGGGAGAGAGGGGGTGAGGGAAGAGTCTCCTGAGTAGTCTGAAGGATTCTGGGGAAGCCAGGAGGTGGGTTTTTAATACAGGTCATCCTTGACTGTGGGACAATCCTGTCCCCAGGTGCCTGGTGGTGGGTGGGCTGTGGGGGTTGGGGGGTTGCCAGGGAGTGGGCCCTCCCTGCTCCCTGGCCGTGAGGCTTAAGCCTCTCCTGTCAGGCCACGGGGTGGTTTGCCAAGGCTAAGAGCAGGCGTCCCCAAACTTTTTACACAGGGGGCCAGTTCACTGTCCCTCAGACCGCTGGAGGGCCGCCACATACTGTGCTCCTCTCACTGACCACCAATGAAAGAGGTGCCCCTTCCTGAAGTGCGGGCCATAGTTTGGGGACGCCCGGCTAAGAGCTTTGGTAAAACCCTCCACCCCCTGCCTCTCTCCTTCCACCAAGGCCTTGGCACAGAGTAGGTTCTAAAGATGACTGTGGCACCCTGTGAGCCATGGGGGGTGACATGGTGGGCAGCTGACAGGGCTTTGGGGTGGCCCCTGCAAACCAGAGACACATGTGTACTGTGGTTTTCCTCCAAACAGATGAGGAAACTGAGGCCCAGGGAGGTGAGGTGCCAACTTGCCCCAGGTCACGCAGCAGCCCAGCGGCCCAGCCCCAAGCCCCTTCTTTGGCTGAGGTTACGCCTGGAGAGATGTGTCCAAAGCACCTCGGCCTTGCAGAGCCCCTGACGCCTTGGCTGTCAGCTGTTGGTGCTGTGTCGTTCTTGTGAAGTTCTTTTGAGTAAGAAGGCAGCTTAGTGAAGGGGAGGCGAGTGTGTCTGCCCCAGGGCCAGGCGCGTAGCAGGGAATACATGTGGAACATGTAAGAAATGTGGGCGGGGCCGGGTGCCGTGGCTCACACCTGTAATCCCAGCACTTTGGGAGGCGGAGGCAGGCAGATCACCTGAGGTTGGGAGTTTGAGACCAGTCTGACCAACATAGGTAAAACCCCGTCTCTAATAAAAATACAAAAAATTAGCCAGGCGTGGTGGCGCATGCCTGTAATCCCAGCTACTCGGGAGGCTGAGGCAGGGGAATTGCTTGAACCTGGGAGGAGGAGGTTGTGGTGACCTGAGATCACAGCCATTGCACTCCAGTCTGGGCAACAAGAGTGAGACTCTGTCTCAAAAAAAAATTACCTGGGCATAGTGGCACACACCTGTAATTCCAGCTACCAGGGAGGCTAAGGCAGGAGAATCGCTTGCATCTGGGAGGAGGAGGTTGTGGTGAGCCAAGATCACGGCCATTGCACTCTAGCCTGGGTGACAAGAGCGAAACTCATCTCAAAACAACAACAACAACAAAAAAGAATGAAATGTGGGCGGGTGTGCGGCTGCCTGGGCATCATGCCTCGCCTAGGCAGGGCCCCTAGCCCGGCCCTGGTCCCTGTTTCTCTGTGACACAGACGCAGCCGTGGCCTGCTCACCCAGTGCAGGATGACACAGAGCCTGGAGCAGGTGCCAAGGAAGTGAGGGGCAGGAGCCAGCTCCCCTGGGACCTGGAGCAGCTGGTGTGCAGGGCTGAGACTAACCAGATGTGATTGAATGGGGGTGGACGAACACCCAGCACCTCAGGCGGGGGGACCTAAGATACTGCCCAGAGCTGCTCGAGGACCTTGTGAGGGCATCAGGGCTGCCTGGCCGTGTGTGCCAAGGGGCCTGGGGGTTTGGTTGACATCTAGGACAAGGTGAAGACGCAGCGCTGGTGCCTCCTGACTCCCACTGCATGAACAGAAGCAGGGAGCCCAGCTGAGGGAGGTGGGGACCTCTGGAGCTGATCCTGCTCCAAACGCATCAGCACTGATGCTTGGCTCCAGGCGACGCGTTGTAAGAGGGACCTTGACAGCAAGCATGTCTTGGGCAGCTGGACCTGAGGGCAGGAGGGCGTTGACGCCTCGGCACAGGAAGAGGAGGTAGAGGACGCGGTGCTGTTCAGCCTGGATAAACAGAGTGATGGTAGACCGGTAGATGTCGGAAGAGCCTTTATGGCGTAGTGGCCTCGTCCCTAGTGGCTCCAGAGAGCGAGCTGGCACCCATGAACAGAAGCACAAGGAGCCAGACTTGGTTTTGTAATAGAAGAAGAAATTTCTAGCAATCAGAGCTGTTAAGGAAGGGAATCTGGGCCGGGCGCTGTGTCTTGTGCCTGTGATCCCAGCACTTTGGTAGGTATAGGTGGGTGGGTCGCTTGAGTTCAGGAGTTCAAGACCAGGCTGGGCAACGTGGTGAAACCCCATCTCTTACAAAAGTGCAAAAAAATTAGCTGGGCATGGTGGCAGGCACCTGTGGTCCCAGCTACGTGGGAGGCTGAGACATGATGAGAATTGCTTGCGGCTAGGAGACGGGTTTCGGTGAGCACCATGGCACTCCAGCCTGGGTGACAGAGCTAGCTAGACTGTCTCAAAAAAAAAAAAAAAAAAAAAAGAAGAGGATCAGTAGATTCAGGTGGGCGCTGAGAGCCCTGTCACTGGAGGTCTGCAGGTGACGGGACATTGTCTTCCAGGGAGGAATCTTGGAAAAGTCTGCCGATTCCACCAGCTCAGGCTGGCCTGGGTTCTTGGCTGTGGGGTCCAGCAGCGCCAGCCATGCGGGGTTGATGTAAGATTCCAGAAACATCAAATGTCAGACACAAAGGAACCATTGGATAAGGGGTATATGACTCTCTTAGAGGCTAGGAGACTGAAGCCCAGAGGAGTTAGGTAATGTGCCTGATGTCACACAGCTCAGCATTCAATCCCAGGCCCCTTCCCCACACTGTCCACAGCCTGCAGCATGGATTCATTCATTGCACTGGAAATGCAGTTAACTTACCAAACGGTGTTCCTTGTCGAGGGTATAATCATCCCATTTTACAGACGAGGAACTGAGGCCCAGGGAGCTCCATGAGGTGGAGGCAGTGACCACACCAGTGTTTAGACCCCCTGCTTGAGTCTCTTCAGGGGGTGGCAGGCTTTGTGCCTGAGGGCAGAGTTCCCGGCCTGGTGCTGGGCTTCCAGCAGCGAGGGGCGAGGTGGCTGCCTGCCTGAGAGATCTGCCAGGAGCCCTCGGTCCTCCTAATCCTGGGTAATGGCATTGACACGGACGGTGACAATGACACCTCGGGAAGCCTTGGCCAGCCTGGCCAAGGGACGAGCCTGTGCCAGGGCTTAGGAGCTGCTGCAAATGAGATTTCCCCGGCCGAGCCTCACGTCTCTCTCCTGGGAGGCCAGGACACAGACTGCGCTTCCCCTATCTCCTCCTGGAGTTGACGGGTGTCCCCGGAAGAAGAGTGTGGCCACATGAGTGTGAGCCCGGCGTGGTGTGTTTGCGAGGCCTCCTCCCCTGGACTGAGCGTGTGTGTCTCTGTCATGTCCTGGGGTTTCGAGGGAGCCCTGGGAGCTGGGTGGTACTCACCTTGCCATGCAGGGGGAAACTGAGGCTCTGCGACTCACCCAGGGTCTCAGAGCCGGTCGGCTCTGCATCTTCCCCGCTGACCTCCGCTGCCTGCATCCCTGGCTGGCCTCGCTCCGTCCACCCTCTCACCCACCCTGGGGAGTCGGCCTGACCCCCCTCAGCCCCTCCCACACGCCACAGTGCCGTGGGGGCTCTCCCCAGGGTGGGGGTCCAGACTGTCCTCTGACAGGGAGGCTTGGGAGTCAGCCTGCAGTGGGGGGCCGAGAGGATGTGACCCCGAGCTTCAGCGAGCCTGAGTCCAGAGGAACCCTGATCTTGGGTGATGAGGGAGCCCACATTAACAGCAGCTGCTGTTCACAGAGGTCAGGCACTGTCAGTTCTGACTTGTCTCCCAGAGGGGCTCAGGATCTTGGGGTACCCGGGTGGGAAGGGCACACACCAGGGGGATCACTGGGTAGCCGATTACGCCTGAGGCCCAGAGAGGGGAGGCATTTGCTTTGAGTGACTCTGGGGTCTGCGGTCCTGCCTAGTTCTGAACTGAGACCCCCTACACCACCAGCTCTGCCCCAAGAGCAGCGAGTGCGGCGGGGTCTCACTGACTCTCCTCTCTGCCCACGAATGTCCCCAGGAGAGGGGTTGTCATACAGCACGCACCTGCAGACCCAGAGCCCCCAATAACCTCACGCACCCTGGCTGTGCAGCCGTTTCTTCTGTGGTGGAAGGAGAGAGCACCCCTTAAAGAGGGCTGCTTGGCTGGGTGCAGTGGCTCATGCCTGTAATCCCAACACTTTGGGAGGCCGAGGTGGGCGGATCATGAGGTCAGGAGTTCGAGACCAGCCTGGCCAACATGGTGAAACCCCGTCTCTACTAAAAAGACAAAAATTAGCCGAGCATGGTGGCGGGTACCTGTAATCCCAGCTACTCCGGAGGCTGAGGCAGGAGAATCACTTGAACCCGGGAGGCAGAGGTTTCAGTGAGCCAAGATGGCAGCACTGGGGCACTTGGGACCTGAAGGGGAAGACGCTCTAGGGGAGGGGTCCAGTCAGGCCAGGGCACGGGAGCACTGCTCTTTGCTAGAACATGCCACCCCCATGCCTGCTTGCCTGCATGGCCGTACCCCTCCTGGGCTGTGCCACCAAGGCCCTGGGCGGAAAAGGTCTCTGCTTCCCACAGCTGCTCCTGCCGCTCCCGGCTCCCTCTGGGCTGGTCACAGGATGCATTTTGGTGGTTCAGCCAGACCAGGTGTCATCTGTCTCCCTGGCCTCTGGGCTGGGGGGGGAGCAGGTGCCCTGTCCCCTGCGCCGCCCCCATCTATCATCGAGAGAGCTCACTGCCATCGGTGCCTCTGTCTCGGACGTGCTTCCTCCTTTTCCCTCTCCCTCTGTCGGTCTCTGCCTGGCTGCCTGGATATTTTTGCTTTGCCACTATTCTCCGTCCTCGCCTCCTCCCTGCAGCCCCCCTTCTTCCCGTCTCTCACCACCTGGGTATGCGGGGAGCTGTCCTATCCCCCTGCAGTGTGTGTGGGAGGGTGATGGGAGGAGGGGAAGGGCACGACCTTGCCCATTTGACTACTGGACCCTCAGCCTCGGGCCTGAGAGGACAGGCTAGTGCCCCTGACGCCCACACCTTGAGTATGTAAGCAGCTGGGCCAGGGGCCAAGTGCTGCTGTCAGCGGCTTCTTGGCCTCAGCCTCTCTGTTCCCTCCCTGGCTGTGTCAGGTCTCCATGGGTGGCAGGCAGGCAGCCTAGGATGGGGACCGGGCAGCTGACGCACCTGGGACAGGGTGATGGAAGCTTACACTCAGCTCTGTCTGAGTCACGGAGGCAGGTGGGAGCTGGGCCCAGCCCAAATCATCCTGGAGAGCAGGAGGAAGAGGAGAGACCATGGGCAGGTCACCTTGAGGCTTAGGTGGGCAGAGCTTGGAGTGCCTGGGGTTGGGGCACCAAGGGCCTCTACCCATCCTGGACTGTTTGGGAAGAGCTAGGGTGGGACTGGCTCCCCTCCCACATGGGCCTCTTCTCCCATGCCCCTCCACGATCAGCCTCTTCGCACCCTTCAGCAGGACCTGGCTTTCCCGAGGCTCCAGCCAGCCTGGCTTTGCCCAATACCCTGGGCCTGGCTGTGGGGATGCTGGTTTGAGCAACTCAGATGCCAGGAGAGGGGCCGGAGTGGCACAGATGCACACACACACACACACGTAGAACACACAGAACATGCATGTACTTAAACATGCCAACTGTAACACAGATGGATGCCTGCCTTCCCTGAGACGTGCCTGACACACATGCCTTCCCACCCTCCACACACAAGCACATGCACGAATGTGTGCACACGCGGCTGCCTGCACGTCGTCGGCGTGTACACGTCAGCACACCCCTGCGTCGGCACTCCGAGCCACCTGCATGTGCACCTGCATACAAATGTCCCCAGACCTTCCCCGGTGAGGAGGAGGGACTATATTGGAGCAGCCGAGGGTTCTCTGACAGGCAGCCTCAAGGATCTCTGAAGTGGGAAGCCTGGAGACTCAGCCTCCTCCAGTACAACCTTGCTACCTGTGGGAGGGGAAACTGAGGCTTAGAGAGGGGCAGAACTGGCCTGGGGTCCCCCAGGAGCCAGTGGCCGTGCTGGATGGAGGCCAAGAGCTCTCCAGCCCTGAGACCTTTGCATAGCACAGCCAAGGACAGAGCTGCTGTCTGCTGCCTGGGCACCCCTTCCTGCCTGGCTGCCTTGTGGCACCCCGAGGCTGGTCCTGCAGCGACTGGGGAGGTGTGAGGCTGGCCTCAGAGGTCCTGATTATCACAGCCTCTGACGTAGCATCAACCTTTAGTCTAGCGGGCCCTGTGGACTCTCTGTTCACCTTTCACCATCCCAACCAAAAATGGCCTGCCTGGGACTTCCTGTGGGATTAACCTCTGCCCCACACCCATTTCCCTTTTCTCTGTTCCTGCCCTCTGGGGCTCAGGGCTGTAAATTGGTTTTGCTTTAATGGCAAAGACGTAGACATTGTTTTAAAGCACCCTTTCCTGGACTTTCCCAGGAGGAGGAGGAGGAGAGGGAGGCAGAGGTGGCTCTGGTGAACAGTCCCCGGCTTTTTGTGTCCAAATTTCTGGATTTCTGAGACCTAGTCTTCATGTCCCTGGCTCCTGCCCAGGGCAGAGGGAGGGAGAACTGGGCTGTTTCCATAGTTGAGAGCACAGGGTGCGAGCTGGTGCTGGGCTCTGTCTAAAGGGCTGTGTCCAGCGTGCTGGGCCACCTGGCCAAGTCTTTCCTGGGTCGGGGACTCAGTTTCCCCACTTGGAAAGTGAGGGTTGATCCTGATGGCCTGCTGCGGTGCCCCCTGGGCTGCTGTCCCTGCCCTTCTGCATCTTGGAAACGGGCAGCATGGGTCCTCGGCATCTTCTCTCCTATCAGACGGGCCGGAAAGGGACCCACTTTGTTAGATGCGGAAATAGACTCAGATGTTGTGGTTTGCCTAGCTAATTGGGCTGGGTAGATAGATGGGGTGCCAGGCCTCCTGACTCCTGGCTTGGGCTTAATGCCTCGGGAGCCTTGATCCTGGTCCAGGCTGTGCTGTGTTACTTGGGGCAACTCCCTGTCCCTCTCTGGGCCTCTGACTCTCCAGCCATGGAAGGGGAGCCGGGCCTCAGCCATGCTATTCCAGAGGGCTGGCCCCCTCCCAAGGATCAAGGTTTCCCAGGGGAGGCACTCTGGGGAGATGACCGGGGGTAACTCTGGCTTCCCCGAGGCTTGCCTTTCTTTCCCTTGGCGCTGCTCTGCCTGTGGGATGAGCTCTCCCCACACTCTCCCACAGCGGGAGACCCCGGCTTCTGCATCCCCTGCTTGGGGGGCCTCACAGCTGCGACGTTCTGCTCCCCCTCCCCCATGGAAGCTGAGACAAGGGAATTATTTTTGGAACAAGAGCGGTTACACAACAAATGAATTATTTATCTTTTGGGCATGGAGGAAAGAAGGCATGTTGCTGAGCTTCTTAATTTCTTTATCTGGGTCCAGGGGTGCCTGCTTGGGTCGGTGGACACAGATGCATAGGGGCCTGCTTGTCGTGTGCAGATCGTAGGTGTGCTTGTGTGTGTGTGTAGCTGTGTACGTGTGCATGCTGTGGAGGTCTGGCTCAGGTGGGGGCATGTGGGTCTCTGTGCAGGTGGGGGGATAAGCGTGGCCTCCGGTGTGCTGGGGAGGGGTGTGCCCGCACCTGTGCTCACCTGTTGCTCTCCAGCGTCCCTTCTGTGCCCACGGTCCTCAGACTCTGCCCCTACTCCCCCTATTCTTCTGTCTCCCTCCATCCCAGCCCCGGGGCCCCCTCCTGCCTCTTGCCACCCAACCAGCCTGGCTTCTTGGATGTAACAGGGACTCTAGAGTGCTTGCTGGCACAGAGGCCCTGGGACGGGGTGTGGAGAAGGGATGGGGGCGGGGGGAGCCTGTGCTGGAGCTTGACGGGGCTGCTGCGAGCCCTCACACTGATCTGTCACCGCTCTCCATGCTGCCTTTCAGGAACCAGGTGCAGATGGGTCTCTTCCTTCCTGCCCCCGTCTCTCTCACTCCCCGCTCAGTGCGCTCTCTCCAGCCACCTATGGGAATCGTCTGAAGTTCTAAGCCCGGAAGCCAACGAGGAGGAGGAGGAGGAGGAGGAGGAGGAGAAGAAGGAGGAGGAGGAGGAGGAGAAGTGAGAAGAGGTCAATCCCTGAGAACCTGCGCACCTTCTCAGCGGGAGACAAGGAGCCACGCTGTGGGGGTAGCAGGCTGTGGGGCCCCCACCCTTCACCCCAGCCAGGCCTAGTGCCTGCCGTAGCACCCCAGAAGGCCCCCAGCAGTTGGCACTAGCTGTCCCCACCTTTCCTGGGGCCCCCGTGCTGGGGGTCGCCCCCAAGATGGTGGCGGCCCCAGGGAGGACTGTGCTGCCCGCCCCAGCCTCTGGCTGCTAGGCACCACCCCCCATGCCTCGCCCTGCCCCCCACTCCGAGGCCCGCGCCATGCTGCGTCTGGGGCTGTGTGCAGCGGCGCTGCTGTGCGTGTGCCGGCCCGGCGCCGTGCGCGCCGACTGCTGGCTCATCGAGGGCGACAAGGGCTACGTGTGGCTGGCCATCTGCAGCCAGAACCAGCCGCCCTACGAGACCATCCCACAGCACATCAACAGCACCGTGCACGACCTGCGGCTCAACGAGAACAAGCTCAAAGCCGTGCTCTACTCCTCCCTCAACCGCTTCGGGAACCTCACCGACCTCAACCTCACCAAGAACGAGATCTCCTACATCGAGGACGGTGCCTTCCTGGGCCAGTCGAGCCTGCAGGTCCTGCAGCTGGGCTACAACAAGCTCAGCAACCTGACGGAGGGCATGCTGCGGGGCATGAGCCGCCTGCAGTTCCTCTTTGTCCAGCACAACCTCATCGAGGTGGTGACGCCCACCGCCTTCTCCGAGTGCCCCAGCCTGATCAGCATCGACCTGTCCTCCAACCGCCTCAGCCGCCTGGACGGCGCCACCTTTGCCAGCCTCGCCAGCCTGATGGTGTGTGAGCTGGCCGGCAACCCCTTCAACTGTGAGTGCGACCTCTTCGGCTTCCTGGCCTGGCTGGTGGTCTTCAACAACGTCACCAAGAACTACGACCGCCTGCAGTGCGAGTCGCCACGGGAGTTTGCCGGCTACCCGCTGCTGGTGCCCCGGCCCTACCACAGCCTCAACGCCATCACCGTGCTCCAGGCCAAGTGCCGGAACGGCTCGCTGCCCGCCCGGCCCGTGAGCCACCCCACGCCCTACTCCACCGACGCCCAGAGGGAGCCGGACGAGAACTCGGGCTTCAACCCCGACGAGATCCTCTCGGTGGAGCCGCCGGCCTCATCCACCACGGACGCGTCCGCGGGGCCCGCCATCAAGCTGCACCACGTCACCTTCACCTCGGCCACCCTGGTGGTCATCATCCCACACCCCTACAGCAAGATGTACGTCCTGGTGCAGTACAACAACAGCTACTTCTCCGACGTCATGACCCTCAAGAACAAGAAGGAGATCGTGACGCTGGACAAGCTGCGGGCGCACACCGAGTACACCTTCTGCGTGACCTCGCTGCGCAACAGCCGCCGCTTCAACCACACCTGCCTGACCTTCACCACGCGGGACCCCGTCCCCGGCGACTTGGCACCCAAAACCTCCACCACCACCCACTACATCATGACCATCCTGGGCTGCCTCTTCGGCATGGTCATCGTGCTGGGGGCCGTGTACTACTGCCTGCGCAAGCGTCGCATGCAGGAGGAGAAGCAGAAGTCCGTCAACGTCAAGAAAACCATCCTGGAAATGCGGTACGGGGCCGATGTGGATGCCGGCTCCATCGTGCACGCCGCCCAGAAGCTGGGCGAGCCCCCCGTGCTGCCTGTGTCTCGCATGGCCTCCATCCCCTCCATGATTGGGGAGAAGCTGCCCACCGCCAAGGGCTTGGAGGCCGGGCTGGACACGCCCAAGGTGGCCACCAAGGGCAACTATATCGAGGTGCGCACAGGTGCTGGCGGGGATGGCCTGGCTCGGCCCGAGGATGACCTCCCGGACCTCGAGAATGGCCAGGGCTCCGCGGCGGAGATCTCCACCATTGCCAAGGAGGTGGACAAGGTCAACCAGATCATCAACAACTGCATCGATGCCCTCAAGCTGGACTCGGCCTCTTTCCTGGGAGGCGGCAGTGGCGGTGGGGATCCCGAGCTGGCCTTCGAGTGCCAGTCCCTCCCTGCAGCTGCTGCCGCCTCCTCGGCCACTGCCCCCGGGCCACTGGAGCGGCCCAGCTTCCTGTCGCCTCCCTACAAGGAGAGCTCCCACCACCCGCTACAGCGCCAGCTGAGCGCCGACGCGGCCGTGACCCGCAAGACCTGCAGCGTGTCTTCCAGCGGTTCCATCAAGAGCGCCAAGGTCTTTAGCCTGGACGTGCCCGACCATCCGGCCGCCACGGGGCTGGCCAAGGGCGACTCCAAGTACATCGAGAAGGGCAGCCCTCTCAACAGCCCGCTGGACCGGCTCCCACTGGTGCCGGCGGGCAGCGGCGGGGGCGGCGGCGGGGGCGGCGGCATCCATCACCTGGAGGTGAAGCCGGCCTACCACTGCAGCGAGCACCGACACAGCTTCCCCGCCCTCTACTACGAGGAGGGCGCCGACAGCCTGAGCCAGCGCGTGTCCTTCCTCAAGCCGCTGACCCGCTCCAAGCGTGACTCCACCTACTCACAGCTCTCCCCCAGACACTACTACTCAGGGTACTCCTCCAGCCCCGAGTACTCATCCGAGAGCACGCACAAGATCTGGGAGCGCTTCCGGCCCTACAAGAAGCACCACCGGCAGGAGGTGTACATGGCCGCCGGCCACGCCCTGCGCAAGAAGGTCCAGTTCGCCAAGGACGAGGATCTGCACGACATCCTCGATTACTGGAAGGGGGTCTCGGCCCAGCAGAAGCTGTGAGCCCCCTCCTCCCTGGTGAGGTCGGAGCCAGAGGGCTGGGGGCCGTCTGGGGGAAGGGTCCGGGCGGCCAGGGCGGGGAAGCTGACTCGGGGGCTGAGGCCCAGGAGAGGACGCACACGCAGACCCGCACGCACGCACGCACACACACACACCACTGACCACCACCCGACTGTGAACAAAACCACATCCGACAATAACGGACAGGAAAACAAAGACACATCTTCCTTAAAGTTTACAAACTTGATACCGAAACCAGTCGTCTTTACTGTGCTGCCCAGGGACTCTGCTGGGGGGTGCAGGGCTGGGGGCCGGCGGGGGGAGGAAGGAAGCCAAGAGAGGGTGTGGGGTCTGGGGGTCTGGGGGTCTGGGGCTAGAAACAGGTGTGTGGACCAAGAAGGCCGGGATAGAGAGAGACTGAAGCCCCTCTGGGGCAGAGGGAGGCTCTCCTCCCAAGCTGGGGGTCAGGTCTCTTGAAGATTTAGCATTAGACAGGCATTGGGCATTCATGTCTCCTTCTACTTTAGGGAGAGGGGGATACTGAGGCCTGGAGAGAGGAGTTGACAACCCCAGGGTCACATAGCAGCTTAGCCTCAAGTCCCTCAACTTCCCAGCCCAGTGCTATCCCCGACCCCCCTACCCCACAGCTGCCTCGTGGGAACCCGCCTGTCCCATGCCCAACCCCCGACACCCCCTTCCCACCCGTGGTCCCTTGGGGCCGAGGGACTTGCAAGTCAGGCAGGTGCTTTTCCTTCCTAGAAAGCCACATGGCAGTGCCCCCAGAGCGTGCAGCTGTGATTCAGAATCCTGGGGGCTCTTGTCCCCTACGCTAGCACCCGGGAGAAGGGAGAGGGTCCTGTTGATGGGAAAGGAGCCGAGGCAGGGTGACATTCCACCAGCCCACTTCAAGTGTCTTCCGTGTGGCCTGGGAGGAGTGAGGCGTGTGGCGGCAGGCCGGCTCCCAGGACACCTCAGGTGCAGCTCCCGTCCAGCTTCTCTGATCCTCCGAGACCCCCACCCACCGCAGAAGTACAGCGGTGCACTGTGATGCCTGGGGGGCTGTAGGGAGGAGGTGTCGTGGGGACAGCCTGCCCGTCCCCGTGGCCCGCATCCCCACCTGACTGACCCCATCGTGGGATCTCGGCTCCTGCCTCAGCCGGCCAGGGAAGGAGGGCTTTCTCACCCACCCCCTCTCGGCTGCTCTTTGCGGCCTGGCCCCCTGGCCAGAGGGGCTCCCATGTTTCCATAGCAATGGCCACTCCCCTCTTTCTGACCCCCAGCCAACATCAAACAAAGCACAAACAGTGAGGCACCCTGCTGGTCTGGGAGGGGTGGGGAGCAGGCTGGGTTTGTGGTGCCCCGCCCCCTCCCAGCCATCCTCTGTCGCCATGGTAACCCTGTGCCTGGCAGTTGGTGCCCAGAGTGACCGTTGGGCTCTGGGGTTCTCTGTCCGTGTGGGCGGTGGCAGTTGGTGGTGAGGGTGGTGAGGGAGGACCAGCCTGGCAGGAGCTCCTGGGGCCAGCTCTTTTGGGAGGCAAATCTGGGGTCCTGAGACTGGCGTCTTAACCAGTTGGGATGCTGAGGGGTGGGAGTCCATCATCTTTCACCTCTGGGTGGGAGCTGGGCCTGTGGGGCGTGGGCAAGTCTGTACTAGCAACTTTGCCCACCTGGCGACGTGCCCCTCGGCTCCCACCCACCTCAGCATGGGAGGGGGCCTCGGCTCTCCCCATGCCCCTGCCAGGGACCCCTAACCTTGGGGCTGTGGCCCACATGGGTTTCCTGAGATTCGGAGAGTGTGACTGAGGGGCTGGGGTGGGACAAGACGGGCAGTGTTGGTGGGGAGGGACTGACTGGGAAAGCGAGTGCCATCCTTGGGGGGGCCAACCGTCTTCCTGCTGAGGGCAAGGAGTCCAGGGGGACAGCGGAGGGCTGGCAGGCTCAGGCTCAGCTCAGCACCTCTCTCATCCCAACTGTGGGGTGAATGAAGCCCAGGGCTCCCTTTGAGGGTGACATTTGCCAAGAAAAGACTGTTCTCCCCAGGGCGAGGAGGGGAGGGGCGGCATGGACGCTTGGAGCAGACCTCCCTCCCCCGGCCCCCCAAACCTGCCCCAACCCCTCCTCACACCCAGTCGGCACACCTGACAACAGCAAGCAAGCAGAGAAGCCAGGGGTGTGAGCAAGCAGACTCCCCGTTCTATTTGCATGACGATTTTACTGTATTTTTCTGAGCAAACATCTGTCGTGTACGTGCCAGTTTGTCCAGACTCCCCCGCCCCCTCCCTGACGCCCTCCTTTCTCCCATTGCGTCTGTCGTGATCTGACGAGCAGCTCTTGAAACCCAGGGAGGGGTCAGCTCTGCAAACACAGACCCAAAACAGGTGCCACCGAGACCCAGCCCTGCCCCACCTCCTGCCTCTCTGGGCATTGGGCCCGCAAGTGCCACCTCCCTCCCTCCCTCCATCTCCCCACCACCACTTGCCTTTTCCCTACTTCCTTCCCCTCCTCCATGCCAGGGAGGGCAGCCCGAGGGAAGCCTCCTTGAGGGCCCATGTCCGGGTGGAAGGGACCGTCCGTCCTGCTTGTTCCCATTTTGCAGATGAGGAAGTCAGGGCTCTCCGACAGGGGCCTGGTGACTTGGCCGGCCAGCTGCGGTGGAGGGTCGGTTACACTGCTGAGTATAGGAGGCCAGGAGCTTGCGGCTTTGCGGGGGGCTTCATGGAGAGGCTGGGGGCTTTGAGAAAGGAACCGTGGGAGGAAGGAGCCCGCCTGGGTGGGCCGCAGGGAGGGTCCCCGGCGGTAGGAGCGGGTGCCTGTCCTAGCCGTTGCCCCATCCTTCCTGCCTGAAGAAACCTATCGAAACCTCAGACGCTCCGACCGCAGGGACAGGCCCCCGTTTGGAGAGCAGGACCCTGATACTCCAGGAGGGGAGCGGCCTTGAAGACTCAGTTCATGTGGTTCTTTGTGAGGCCGGGCAGGGTCTTAAGACTCAGGTCTCTGGCCTCCCCGGCCAGGCCAGACCCCGACTTTGCAGCTGGAGGAGGGCCCGCCCACCTGGACGCTGGCCTGCATCTGCGTCCCGCCTCCCGCTCGGGATGGGTTTTTTCCCAGGCCGGAGGGAAGGATTCAAAAAACACGGTTGAATGTTGCCATCTAGGAGTCTGGTCAAGCTTTGGGTTTGTGATGGTGATGGGGTGGAGCTGGGGCAGCTGGGGGGGCAGACACCCAGGAGAGGAGGGCAGGGGAGCCCCAGGGAGGGAGGGGAGACGGGGCCTCGTGGAGTCGGGGGGCCGGCTGAGCTGGCTGGAGGGATGTGCGTGCAGCGCCCCGGACCTCTGCAGGGAGGTCTCCGGCCTTGGGCCCGAACGAGGTCACACCTGGGCTTGCCCGTTCCTGGTACCTGTTGGAGACTTACCTCTGGAGCCGTTTCTGGGAAGTAGGGACTGGTCTGCTCCCCCCTGAAGGGCACAGCTGGTGCGGCTAGCCCTCTGTTGGAGCTCATGGCCTTCTAGAAGCAAAATATGGAGGCTGTCAGGAAGGCAAGAAAGTCTAGGTGGTGGGGACACCTATTCACATGTCCCGGCCTTTCGGAGTCGTCTTTCTCTGCCTACCAACGATCCCTCCCTTGCGCTCCCCTCCTGGGCAGTGTGGGAGGCCCCAGGGGGTAGGTCTGGGAAAAGGGCTGTCAGGGCAGCGAGGAGGGTGGGAATAAAAAGACTCACTTGGGAAGGCAGGGCCTGGATCAGCCCCGAGAGGCAGCAGCGCGGCGTGTCGGGCCGGCCGAGAGTCACCGTGTTCTCAACTGGAAGTTGGTTGCCCGCCCCACCCAGCCCCTGGAAATTTAACAGAGGGGGAGACAGAAGTGCAGAGAAGAAAAGGAGAGGGAAGGAAACTTAGAGTCAAGAAACCCGGCAGTGACAATGCTGAGGCCGGGATGGCATCAGGAATTAGGGACCGCAGGGACAGGTCCCCGCTTCTGAGGGGTCTAAGTGCAGGGAAGGGACAGACACAAAGCTCCCTGGTGACTGGTGCCTTGCAGAGAATTAAAATAGGGTGATGGGGTGGGGAGGGCCAAGGGTGGTCAGGGAGCATCCCCTGTGGAATGGGGGGGACAGGGGGCCAAGCTCTGAATGACCAGAGGAGACAGAAGGATGGGTGGGCAGTTGTAAAGACAAGCCTGGAGGGAATGGGGTTGCAGTGGGTGCCTGTCCCCCAGGCACCACCTCCATCCCCTACCACTCTGCCCCTGCCAGGCCCAGGAGGGTCCCGTCTCCATGAACGTGGCCCCGAGGAAGGAGGAAGCCGGTGTGAAGGTTCGGGCAAGGCTGCCTCACCTTACTGCCATCTCTCCTCTCTGACGAGGTGGCTGCTCCAGAGGTGGCTGAGCTCCAGGACAGGGTCCCTCCTCTAACCCTCAGGCTCGGATCCTGTCCTGACACACTCCTTCCCTGACCCTGGGTCCTCCCACCTCTAAGACAGAACCAGGGTGCACACTGCTTGCCTCTGGAGGCAGCCTCAGCCCTCATGAAAGGCCAGGCAGTCCTGCAGAGCGGGAGGGAGAGGAAGGGGTCCGGTAGGGTGGGCAGGATGGTCTGGGCCTCCTTCCTCCTGCCCCGCTGCCGCTCCACCCAGCACAGGGCTGGGCAGGGGACTGGAGTTCCTGTAGTGTCGGCCACATAGCCCTCCCAGCGTCCCTCCCTCCCACCGTCCCTCCCTCCCTCCCTCCCTCCCTCCCTCCCTCCCAAGCCTCCAGCCCCCAGGTTGGCTGTGGTTGGGCACCTGGTTTGGGTCCTGCAGAGCTGGGCTCCAGCCCTGGGCTCTGAACCTGTGAACCCTTGCTGTGTACGGACATTTCCTTCCTCTGAGGGCCTTGAACCCTCTCCTTTTCTTCTCTGTTTTTCAGGGGGGGGGGATTAACTTTATTTTCTCGTCCTCCATCTGCCCCTCCCTCCCCTCGATTTCCTGTTTTAAAACTGAATGGCACGAAATCGTTTTCCCCAACGCGGAGATTCCTGTATGGAGAGAATCAATTTCTATATTTGCAATAAATTTCTTATTTAAAGCTCTGGGGCCACGGTCTGTGTCCTGTTGTCTCCCTCCCACGTCGTCCTGCTACGACCCCCGCTGCCCATTTCACCATTTCGCTTCCCGCTGGGAGCCCCCCTCATGGGGCCAAGGCTTAGTGGGGCAGGGGTGGGTGGGGAGGCCACTGCCTGCAGTCAAGGGAAAAAGAAGGGGCTGTGCAGAGAG